ATAGATAGGGGAGACATATGATGTGTCCATCCATTTGTGCCTGAGTTGTCTCTCGATTTTCATGACTATGTGCACTATGTCTTCCAACTCCATATAGTGTTGCAACTCCACAATCTTGGCAACCTCCTTATTAAGATCTTTCAAGAATCTTATCATGGTTGCTTCGAAATCCTCTTTGATATTGGCCTTAATCGTGGCCATCTCCATCTCCTTATGATAGTCCTCAATAGACATAGATCTCTATGTCAAGCGTTATAATTTTTGATGCATTTTTATATAATAATAAGACAGTACGAACCTTTTTCACATGATCACTTTATCTCTCTCCAAGTGGAGACTAGTCATTTCTCATTATGCCATCTAGTGAGGATTAGTTGATCACATCACACTCGGGCATAATCAGTGAATTCTATAGTTGTTAGCTTGATCTTTTTTTCTTTATTGTAATTATAGCAGTCGAAGGTTAGCTCTACTTTTTTTCTCACTCTAGATAGGTTTCTGCATCATTCTTACCTGTGAAAGTGGTATCATCATTTTAATGGAGCTAATATTATTATCTCTCCTATCTTTTCTTCTTCTAACCTGATCTTCCTCCACATCATTACAGGATATGGCCTCATCTTTAGGATGTTGAGTTCTAGGCTACCTTGTATTAGGGGTCCCCTATCTCACTTCACTTTTACCACTACTCAAGGTATCTACCTTTTGACTAAGTCGTGCTAATTTTACATGCATAACTTGCATAAAGAGCATTATGTTGGCGGAGTTTTGATGCTCACTTGACATTTTAAGAAGATTTCTTGCAAAAGGATTAGTAAAAAAAATTCTCACAAATTCTCTCGTATTTCACTAACTTGGCAAAATACTCTAATAATTTCATCCACTCTTGTCCTTTACCACTCTATCTTTCACCCTCAAGTTAAGTGTCAGATAGACCTCTTGAATCAAAGTATTTTCAAGTATTGTTTAATATTTCTATAGAACAAATACTGCATAAATACTAAAAGTAAGAGTTTTAACACATAGATGAAGAGAGAGTGTGTTATGTTACAATGTTAGGCACTAAGATGCTTAGATATGTTATGGAATTAGAGCTTAAAGCAATAAAAAAACTGAGAGTACGAGAAAAGACAGTTATAGAAGATGTAGGGATTCAGTATTACCCTTAGGGAAAATTCAAAAGATGTTCCTACTAATCTATACCCATTATACATTGTGCTTTATAGTAAAGATGGAGCCTTGGCATTTGATGATATGTGTATGCTTTATAGTAAAGATGGAGCCTTGGCATTTGAGGATATGTGTATGTATGAATGCACGTTGATTGTAAAAGAAGGATTATATAAATATATATGTTTTGCCTTTAAATAGGTCAATTCTTGCACCGTAGTAAGAATGATAGTTGAGCACCAAAGGTTAAGTATTTTGTCGGTTAGTAGGTTACTTGATCAGGATTTATTTTCTTGGTTTCCTTTTTTTTTATGATGTAGAAAATGTAAATTGCAAAAAAAATAAATAACTAGTGGTAAGATTGATGCACAAGAGGGACTATAAACGAAGAGAACTATAAGTTGTTGCTTTTTGCTTGAATCGATATGTGAGAGTTACATATGTGACCCTAGAAGGGAGTTCCAATTACCTGGGAGACAACAATCAGATTTCGTGTTAATTCAAAAACAAGGCCCAGGAGAAGCTTGGATTAAGGAAACGGAGTCGAGATTTAACGACAATGTGTAATCCCATAAAGTCCAAGGACCTAATTTGTGCAAGCCTAGATCGAGTAAGATGGATCATCGATGCCATCAAGATTAGGGAGTCTTATGGACCGCCAAGATAGCCGGTCCAAGCAAGCGTCAATGACGATGAGTTGTGGGCTTTCAAATTGATCCTAGAAGATGAAGATGGCGTGTCCGAGACAACACACGAGGAGGAGGTACTCACCGATGGGTGACCTGAGCCACCGGGCCTGCCACCTGGCCAACCAGGCTCAACCTCCGACCTAGTAAGCCGCACGCCCAAGAAGAACATGTAGCCCATGTCGCACGGCCTGCAGGTGGGCCAACAGAGGCCCATTAGGAAGGCCCAAAGATCGACTCACATCCTGAGGCCTGATCCAGCAGATCCGCAACCGAGGGAAAAGAAATTAGTTCGAACACCCAACCCAGTAACTCGACCCAGCATCCCGACCTAGCAAAAGTCGCGGGCCCAGTCGAGAAGGAATCTGTGCGGGCTGTGGACGCGCACGTGCAAGCTTCCCTAGCCCGTATGGTTGAGGTGTGTGTGGTGGTAAGCTTTTGGACT